ACAGCACCCCCCAACACGCCCAACCCCCATCACAAACACAACACCCTCAACTCCCTCCCATCACACCCAGCACCTCAACCCCCATCTCCCTCCCAACATACACCAAGCACCCCCAACCCCATCACAAACACAACACCCCCAACTCCCTCCCATCACACCCAGCACCTCCACCCCATCACAAACATCCAACTCCCTCCCAACACACACACCCAGCACCCCAACACACCCAACCCCCATCACAAACACAACACCCCCATCTCCCTCCCAACACACACCCAGCACCCCCAACCCCATCACAAACATCCAACTCCCTCCCAACACCTCCCCAACCTCCTGTCACACACTTCCATCACCCCAATTCCCTCCCTACACCCCCCAACAGACCTCCTACCTCCCAACTCACACAACACACACACCCAGCATACCCCCAACTCCCTCCCAACACACACACACAACACCCCCCATCACACCCCAGCTTACTGCCTGCAAGTGCCGAGCGGCAGCAGAACAGAGAGCAGCTTGTAGCTTTGGTCCAAGGGACGCAGCCTGCCTTGCTGACGTCCCCCAAGCGCCACAGCCCAGCCTGCCCGGGGGCGGGATATCACGGGGGGAAAGAGCGGAGTGCTCCTTCCACTGAGGCTTGTCACAGACAGCGTTACTCTGGGCAGCGGCTCCACTGGAAGCCCCTGCAGCCTCGCCGCTAGCCTCAACCCCCATCCAGAAGGCTCGTTTCACACGCACCTGTGAACTGCTTCAGAGCCCCCACCCCTTTGTGCTAGGCAGGGGTAGATTATGAATAATTCTGGTTCTGATATTGCATTACTAAGCATAATTCCCGGGCGAACTTTGAATGAAGGGGCTGGGGTTTTCATGTGTTCTTTCACAATTATTTCCATTTGATTCCCTCGGTAATTTTTGTGATCCACTCATTTAAATTGCATCAAAAGTCAACAGGCAGGAGCGGTAAATGACCTGGGAAGAGCAGCCTTAATGTGTTGCGAGCCTAGCTCTTTGTTTCAAAGGCTTTGTACCTGAAGTCTTGAAATAAGAGGTTTCATTAAAAGGAGATCCACCCCTGTTGTGCATACTTTAAAAAACAAGGATTTTACACACAAAATCCTACCTTAAGGAAGGTTAATATTGTGACAGAAAACTATAAAGCTTTCAAAGCAATGATTATTTTAAACGCTTGCTCTGGTTTTCTTGCTGATCTAACGTCTATTTCCATGGAAACAGCATCCTGTGGCAGAACTGTTAGAACTAGGTTTCAGCTGGATCCGCTAGCTCAACACAGCAAGAGCCGTTTGTAAGCAGCATTTTAGAGCCGATGTTAAGAACTAGTGGCTAGTGCAATGTTAAACAGAGAGCCATCTGCTTGACCAGTTCGTAAGTAAAGGACCTAAGTATTCTTGTGAAAAATAGCTCCAGTGCTGCTCCAGCTACAGGGTGCATCCTATGTGAACAAGCCCGCTACAGGTTAGTGAGAAACAGGAGCCAAGGGGTCTAGTTGTAATCTCTCTCTCAGGCTATGATTACACTGCTTTAAATGTTGTTTGGAAACTGAACCTGCTGAAAAGCATCATTCCTAAGTCAAGGGTTCTTTTTTTCTTATACAGTTATTATTATCCATGTGATTTCAACAGTTTGTTAGGTGCCTGTTTGTATTTTAAAGCCTTTTAGGAAAAAAGAGAGCGTAAAAGTCTCAGAGGGGGTCACCCTGTTAGTCTGTAACTTTAGAAATGAGTAGCCCTGTGGCACCTTAGAGACTAATAAATTATTTATTTAGTATCATGAGCTTTCGTGGGCAAAACCCATTTCCTCAGATGAGCTTGTCATGGGGTGATCTCAAGAGTCAGACTAATTTCCTGGGATTGTGGGGGGAAGAGAGGTTGATTGCAATTCCTGCCACTTCCAGGTGCCAGGACCTCCACAGAGACATGAAGAAATATAATCAGTACTTCCTGCAAAAGGGAGAGGGACTGGAATCCTGTGACCCGTCATGGGGCTAGACTCTATACATCTTGGCTTGTTTGCCCCTTGTTAAGAACTAAAAACAAAAGAAGGCCTGAATCCAATATTATCTCTGAGACTAAGATCTTTTCCCCATATAACCTGTACAATTTAGAGGCAGCATGGTACACTGGCTAGGGCCCAGTTCTACCTACTTTCTTTTGTGTCATCTTGGGCAAATGACTTCAGCTCTCTTCCCCTGCCAATCCTTTGTCTGCTTTGTTTTACTCTCTTTAGGCTAGGGCTGTCTAACTATGGGTGTGCATAGAGAAGCAACACAGTGGATCTCTCAGGGAAAATGGAGTACATGAAAATCAAACATAATTTACACTGCACCACTGTTTCTAGGCATTGTTTGTGGGAGACCTAGCAGATTTCCTTTGAGTGCAAAAGCCCAGCAGCTTTTGGTAGCGGGCTTCTTTGCAAATAAGAACAATTTTTCCATTTATTTCAGGCTTTCCCAAACGTTCACATTTTGGAAGAGAAATTTCAGTATGAAAATCAGTTATAGTGTTTACAGTATAGCCACCAAAATTCAGGGCCTAAGAGTAAATATGCTATTTCAAACCTAACCCTACCCAAACCAGGTAACCAATACGTGCATCTTGGCAGAAAGAAAGGACAATGGTCCAGCCTGAGGCGGACACTGCAGAATACAGAAAGGTGGCCATGGCCTTGTTTTTTAAACTGGGGATTTCAGCAGTTGGTGGCTAGGAACCAAGGTCACGCCATAGAGAGCTGCACCTACTTGAAAGCAAGCTCAATTCCATTTGTACATATCAAAGCTTTCCTCGCTTGATTTAGGTCTTTATCCCAGTGCAGCTACAGCTGTAACTGGTCACCAACTGCAGAAACAGGGGTTAATCTCCAGGATAAATCAGCAGTAAGTCCTTCCGATGTTTATTGATCACCCCCAGCTCTCATTGACTTCAATGGAAACAGGCTTTTTGTCTTCCAGGGGGGTTGAGGGTGTGCAGCACCATTCAGGTTCAGGCCTTCAGTGAATCAGTGTTGAGACCTCTCAGGACTTGCACGTTCTCCATCAATCAGCCTGGGAAGTATAAATCCCCAAGGGACTAGATTTTCAAAGAGGCACACAGGCAGTTAGTGAGATTTTCAAAAGCACCTGAATCCCGTTGAAATCACCGTGCTGTGTGACCGTTGACTTCAACTTGAAAATGGACACAATTACACTTACCGCCTCCACAGGGTCAATTAATGCTAGTAAAACACTTGGAGATCCTTGAATTACAATATACAAAATAGTCTTGCAGCACCTTAGAGACTAACAACATTTGTGGATGGTATCATGCATGAGCTTTCGTGGGCACAACCCACGTCTTCAGGTGAGCCCACAAAAGCTCATGATACCATTTACAAATTTTGTTAGTCGCTAAAGTGCTGCTAGACTATTTGTTATTTTTTAATTTTTTTCAGTTACAGACTAACCCGGCTACCCCTCTGAAATTTCTGAATATACAAAATATTATTTATGTGAGAAGTGACATGTGAGCTGTCTTTTGAGGCAAATTACTTGGGAACTGCTTTGGAAGCAATAATAATATTTAGTATCTATTATCCAAGGATCTCAAAGCACTTTTAAAAAGCAAGGTAAATATCGGGTCCCCATATAAAGAAACTGAGAGGTTGAGTGACTTGCTCAAGGAGCACATCACATCAGTGGCAGACTTGGAAAATAATTCAGGTCTTCTGATTCTCAGTCCTGTACCTTGGCCTCTGGACAGACATTGCTGCCCCGCCTCAAAAATTATCTGAACGCATAAAAAGACGGTTACAAATTCAGATTTTTCCTTTAAATGGTGGCTGCTATTTGTACTCTCAGATGTTTCCAGGTCTCAGTCAGAGAACTGTTTGTTCATGGAATTAGGACTCGAAGTAATCAGATTTAGCATGAAGATTAAAGATGCTTCTGTGATGTACTTATCAAAACACCCCACAAAGAGACTGACATAATTAGGTGACAACTCAGCCTACAGCAGTGCCTTTAAGTTGCCAGAACATTTAATCTCCAGCAAGAAAATGTGCTTTTTGAGTACTAAATGGTCATCCTTACAATGTCCATGGTAGATGGACTGACAGATATTTGACTTGTTATGCAGAGAAAGCCTTTGTAAGTAACAACAGCAAATATTTTCTACATCAGACATATTGGTAGCAAAATCTCTGCGCTAGGAATGTTGTCGCAATCTACTGTATTATTATCGCTGGCCTTAAGATGATCACCTGTGTTTTTTAATATGATGGCCTCTCAGGTAAGACACAGGACCTAAAAGAGAGCCAGCACCCAAACCTAGAGAGAGGCAAAGTCTTCTAGTGGCTAGAGTAGGGGACTGAAGTCAGGGGGTTGTTCCCAGTTCTGTTGCTGATTTGCTGTGTTGACCTCAAGCAATTCACTTTGGCTTGGCTCAGCCTGACTTTCATTAAAATCAACAGAAATTAGGCTCCTAAATATAATCCTCCCCTTGCCTCAGTTCTTCCTGTGCCCCATTGGGACAAAGGTTATAATCCTACTTACCTAGGGTAGCTCACAAGCATGTCCATAGAGTTAATGTTTGTAAAGAACATTGAGATCTTCTGCTCACACACATTCCAGCCCATCATCATGCACCAGACAAAGCAATCAAGGAATCTGCAGAATTTGCCAAAAACTGAGAATAAACATGACTTTCAAAGCATGGTTTCTTCTCAATGAGAGCTCTTCAATGACTGAAGCAGAAATAGTTGGAACCAACTGATATACGCTAAACCAGGATCTAGACTCTTATGTATGTATTATTATTAAGTTATTGCTTTCCTCTTTTTAGGCTATTTGGTATCTTTATGCTGAAAACCTGAGTTCTAGTAACTGAATACTTTCCTTAGGATTGAATTTTGCTTTGGGCAGTACTCTTGGGTGGGTTCCTATGGATAAAGCAGTAGCTGGGGAGTTAGGGTCCTTTTCCCAGTGCATGCCTGTTGGAAACTCACAAACCCTCTCTGTGCTTCTCCTTACTCCCCACTAAAACAAGAAAAGCAATGGCATGTCAAGTTAGAGGATGACTGTGTCTGTGTCAAGATATCTAAATGCAAAAGCATTATTCGTTGTTATTATATATGGACACTATGGTCCTGAAATTCTTACCCTTCATAAAAAAAATCAATCACATGACAGATGTTGCTGAATGCAGTGCTGAAAGGTGTTCAGATGCTATGCAAGGTGGTGTAAAAATCAATATAAAACAGAATAGAAAAATACATGTAGGGTTATATTAAAACACTCCTGTTTTTTCAAATATGTTCTGGTCCACATTAGTGGCTACTGGCAGAATGTCCTTGGATGTGATATAGTTAGGGTAGTTTCCTGCTTGTTCTCCCGCACACCTTAAGTCTGTCTGACTTCTATGGTTTTCTCTCTGAAGAAATTCAGACCCACCACACAACTCCAAGGTAATTGGCCTCTATGCTTGGGGGATGGCGAATGATGCAATTCACTTCCCACCCTGTAGGCAACTCTTCTAGCCCTACTATGCCAATCTACATTGGTTTCTCCATACTCACAGATTCTGTGGTTCCACCCCTCCTCAACCATTATGTGCTGGCCAATGCAAAAGCGGCACAAAGATTCCCCTCCACTGAGTACATGCAGTACAGGGAAAGGGCCCCCTTCCCTTTCTTGGCTATGCCCCTTGTAATCCTGGTCCTGATCTTAAGTACTGCAGTGTGCAGAGACTTGCATCAACTCTCTGCACCTTGGCTGAATTTCATCCTGCACACTTTGCCTGTGAAGTGAGCCGGCCCTCAAATAACCAAATGCTGAACGCTCAGACATGACCACCCGGCTTGCAGTGCTCTTTAAATAACTGAGCAGCAGGAAGGGAAGCCAGGAGATGTAGGTTTTTTGTGAGCTCACTTGAGGTGCACTAATTAGATTTCAAGAGTGTCAGAGTCAACCCCTTCACTTGGGATACAGCACAAGAGACAATGTGAATTTGACAATGCACAGAATAGCAATGCTTACAGATACCATAAAATATTCAACAGAGAAAGAAGGTTCCTGTAAGTCATTTGTTCTGGCTCTTTGAAAATGAAATGAAATGAAATAAAGAGGTTGGGTGTGGCACTAATTCTTTTTTAGTCCCTAATTAGGCTCTGGGATTCAAAAGATGAGTTCAGATATAGACTACAGCTCGGCAAAACCCATTGTATTATTGATCTCTTCTCCCCATGATACCCCTAAAAATATCGCCTTCCTTTCAAGACAGAAATTTACCTTGCAATAATGGAAGGAGTTCTCAGATGAAAACCCTTTTAAAGGTGCATTCCTCGTAACGTAAGATCATTCACACTATCGATCTGAAATGGCAAAAAAGACCCCAAACTGAGTCTACTCCAATTAAAGTCCATGGCAAAACTCCCAGGCCCCAGGTTATCAAAGCTAGTTTGCCTGCAAAATTGGTGGGCAACCAATTGGTAATACAAGTTTTTTTAAACCTAAAGATCTGTGACACGGGTAGCGACGAGTCTGACTTGATCAAAGCAGACAAGATGAGGTGAAACTTGGGCCGATGGGAGAGCTGTAAAAACAAGCCTTTATGTAACCTGAACACCCAGATGCTGCCACATTATGGCTGGGCGGGAGAAATAGAAAGTGAAGGTATTTTTAGTGCATTGCATTAGCAGCAAAGAGCCTATTCATGGACCCCTATCATGCTAGGTGCTGTACAATCACAAGACTAAAAAGTTGGAATTGCCCCTCAGAGCTTGGCCATCTTTGTAAATTGATTAGAAGGTGGCTATAGAATCACAGAACACTAGAACTGGAAGGGACCTTGAGAGGTCATCAAATCCAGTCCCCTGCCCTCACAGCAGGACCAAGCTCTAAAGAAGGGTAAAACAGGAAGTCTGTTTTCATTGCCCTGATATAGAATAAACAAATATCACAGCTTATAGAAAGTATATTTGATCTTTAAAATGCATTCTAGTGTAACACTGTAAAGTGTTTTAAATAGGATTTAATTATTTAAATGTCATTTTAAAATATAGTAAATTTCTCTCTCATTCTTACCAAAAATTCTCTCAATTTTTCAGTCTGTGGGTTGACTGCATTCAAAATCCTAACTATAATTATTTAAAATAAGTCTGGAAACAATACATCCAGCTCAATTTGTTTATTATTAAATTGCACTTTTTAAAATTGATCATTTTAATAGATCAATGCAAAATTAAACACAGTAGTCCACAAATGACAAATGCAAGCTTAGGCAAGGAGCAATCTCACATCTGGAGGTCTTTACCTAGCAGATAGAAGTGTTACATGGACTACATCAGGATACTGCTCCTGTACATTCGTATAAATATCCAGAAAGGCATTTACGTGGTTCATGCTGTGCCTTACAGAGAGTGATCCTTTCTCATAAAAAATAGACACAACCTATAACATTTACATCAGGTTCTGCCTCCAACATACAAACATTTTAAGATGAACCCCAAACCTTGCTAGTTGCACTCAACGGGGCACCACATAGAATTGAATGTGTTCTGTGCTTTGCAGAATCAGGCCCATAATTAATGGGGGGTTTCTGTGAATCTGAAGGAAGCTTTTTCTTTAAAAAAAAAAAATCGTTCTTTGTCAAGTACTCGCAGCTGGTGTTTACATATCACAATACAAGAAAGGTGAAATGGGGAAGTCAGGCTTCATTGCCCTAATAGAGAATAATTAAACAGCACAGCTTGTGGAAAGTACATGTGATCTTTAAAATGCTTTCTCTTGTAACCCTCTGTCCTCTGCTACAGTAATCAACAGCACTGAAATCGTGGGTGCCCACAGCGCAGGGGATGCCAAGGTGCCAGGCTGCCTACTCCCAGTGCCCCCGGGGCCAGAAGGCTGGTTTCTCTTAGGGACTGAAAGCCACACGGGCAGCCCGTTGGTCAATCCCAGTCCGATCCGCCTGTGAGGCCCTGGCAATGGCTGTCACGGCCATCCCTGCTCCTCCAGCAGCTGCTGCCTGTCTGTCTCTATAGCAACTGGGGCAAAGGCCCCATCCCCTGGGGCCTGGGCCTAGGTCTCAACCCCCACCCCTCTCTGCGGCGGGAGGCCGAGGC